TCCTAGGTTAAGATAAAAATAGGGTGAGGATTGATCATATAGGATGAGATTAAGGCAAAGAGATAAATGAGGGCTGAGCTGCAGGAACACTGGAAACAAAGGCGGGGAAATTGGAAACTGCCACAAAAGATGACAGAATCCATAAAAAGGAAGAGGAGGGTTTGTGTTCAGCCAGGATGTCATTAAAGGGAAGGGCCATTAATAAAAGTGTTATCTCCCAGGACTAGTCTGCCTTGGACTGAGATACCACTCCTGAGGATGCAAATATTAAGCTTTGATCACAGTTGCCATATTCTGCCCTTGAAACCCAGCAACGAAAGTAGCAGAAATAGGCTGAAACTTGGCAGTCATCTGGCTAAGGTGAAACTGCGTTTGGAAGGAAACAGAAGGGACAAAGTGCTGCTGAAGGTGGGAAATGAGAGACACTGGCTCAGATGTCAGGACAGTGTTTACAAGAAGGAGGACAGAGCACCTACCAAGAACTGGACTTTTTTTTTCCCTGTGTATGTTCCTTCAGTGGCAGAGTGACAGCTTTTGCTCCAAAGAATTTATCCATGCCTTTTAGGAAAATGCAATACAGTTGTTGGAACAACAGAACAGGAGTTCAAATAGACGCTGAAGGTCCTGGTGAAGGATCACTTGGTGGTAGGGGCTGACAGTGCGCAGAAGATGACTACTTGTCATTTCTGGGAAGCTGCTCTTCCAAAGCTGCCTTTGGCTGCTGAACTGAACTGAAGGCTCGTAACTGCTCAGATTATAAACCAATCCCCACACATGCAGGTCTCCCTGTTACCTCTGAGTTTGCCCATGCTTTGCCAACACCTGAAGGCCTCTCCTTTAAGTAGTCTTGGTGCAGACATGCTGATGACAACCCACCTCTGTCCTGACTAATCCCATCTCTGTACACAGCCTATATGTGTCCTCCCTTGTCACCAAGGACATTTTCCTCACTGGCATGGAGAGTGCCCACATGGAGCATGGCGTGGTGTGGGCAGGTATTGTGAGGTTCAGGCAAAGCTTATAGTGATATCAGCCTCCACTCTGGGTCTTGATACTCACCCTTAATCATGTTCCAGCTCCCAACTCTCTGTATATCAAGTGTGCAGAACACGTTAGTTGTGGCAATCAGCAGAACATAGACATTAAACTGTTTCCACCAGTGCTAGGGTCTCCATACTGCCCTCCAGGATCATATCACCAGTCTGGACTTGTATCTGCCCTCATGTCTCGATTCTAGAGGGCTCTACAGAGCTGACCATGGGCTAAACCTCTGCATGCACTCACAAATAATAAGTCACATGGGAAAGGGCAGAGAAGTCTGAGTTTAATATATACTGAGAGTCACCAATATGGTTTTCTGTGCATGCAGGTGTTCAATATTCAGCATATACTAATTCAAAGCATAGCACTGGCTTAGCCTCTCCCTTCCTCCTACTCCTCTCTCTTCTGAGCTTTAGCTCAGAGATACTATCACTTGTCCAGGAAACAGTACAGCCACATTAATGTGGCATTGCAATCAGGCTCAGACTGTTCCTGCAGACTTTACTGCAGGGCTAATGATCCCATCACATATATAGGCCAGCTCCAATTCCAGAGCCATCTGGGATGTCTCTTAATAACATAACCCTCTGGAAACAAAAAATTCTAAGAACATAGGAATGAGTCTTCACTCCCCACGTTCTAAAGGAGCCTCAATTCACGAACATCAGAAACAAGGAATTTTGTGGATGAAACAACAGCCTGGACCAAAACAGATTTGCATGAAATTCACAGAGGTTTTCCTCCTCAGGGAGATGGCTTTCACAGAGAATCTACTAAGAGCACATTTTATGAAGCAGCAGAGGCAAAGATGAACTTGGAAGGAGTGGAGAAGCATTAGGCCTCTCCCATAATCCATACGAAATTCTCAAATAGACATTTCTGAATAGAGAGAGTTCACACCAGCATGCTTTCTTCCCCACATACTCAGGATTTGGCTTCTGAAATAGTTGCTTCTAGTTGGATGCTTCTTGCAGAATACAGTTATTCCTGAAGGATTTTCCACTTAACTCTGGTCTTTAATTGAAAAGATTCACCTCAGTTAACAAGAATCATCCTCAACAGGGGATGCCTCTGGAAGGGGGTGCACAAAGCTGAGCCTAGGAATTCCAATCATAATTTAACTCAGGCAGACAAAATTTGTTTCGATAGGAGCATTAAACTTCCTGTAGCTTGATATAAACTGATGGACTCTGCTTACTCTTGGCATTCGCTGTTGCAAATGAATCACTGTTACTTCCACCTCCCTGCCCACCCCTCTACTTGGTCCCTTTTTAATTTTACAGCTTCCTGAGCTTGACACCGGGAAATCGATAAGTAATTTAGAGGCCAGCAAATATAGAAGAAAACAAGTTATTTTGTACTTTTATAAATATTTGGAAGACCAAATTATCTAAGAAAACAGGTGCTCAGTTGACTCAGCAACCCATCCATCAGCATCACACAGTTAATTGCATAAGATCATAAACATTTATAATTAGAAGGCAAACAAACAAGAATTTTATAAACAACCCTCTTGAATCAGGCTGCGCATTAAATATTTGTGATAAGGTAATTAAGAATAGATTTACATTCCTGGCTCAGTGTTTAATACTTGGGAGAATGGATTTGGGTCTATGGAGGATGTTGTACAGCCAAGAAGAAAATACTCAATTTGGGCTCTTTTATCCATGGCTTAACGTGATTTCAGAGGAACATTGGCTATGTAATTGATCAGAGTGGAATTTCACTCATTGCAGATGAGAAAGTTCATATAATATAGAACATTAAACATATATTTATGTATTTATATGTCTAATGTCTCTTGTCATGGACCAATCCACTTCAGCCCTGCTTCAAAGGTCTATTTCCTTCCAGATCCTACTGGGTCTGCAGCTTGTCCCTACAGCCCTGCTTTTTATGGTTCATCCTTTGACCGGAAAATGTTAAAATTTTTGCTGTGTTTCAACATTGGGTGCAAAAACCCACAATTTTGCATTACAACATCATCGTGTTTGGTAATGAAAAACTGGCATCGCTACAGGATTATATCTGTGCAATCTCAGTGTATGGGATATGTTTCATATTCTAAGCTCATATTTGTGCCCAGCGTCATTCCCTGTCCCAAAATAGCCAGATTTGAATACTTAAAGTATTTAATGCGATTACTTCTACAGCCATTAAGCAGGCTCAGCATCCCATTAAGATGTATGTGAGAGTTCCCCTAAAGCTAATTTGTGATCAAGCCAGCATTGCTTCTAGTTATGTTTGGAATCAGAAGGCTAGAAACTCAATTTATATTGAAGCTAGAGTTCAAACTCTGTAAAATCTGATGTAAATGCTAAGAAACTAGATGGCTGTATCCCATAAGTGAGCACAGGGGAGCTCAGTCCTAGCAGTAGGATGACCTTCAGGTATTTTGATTTTTTATATATTAAAGGTTTGCTCCAATAATTAGCTGCTGTCAGAAACCAGAGGACTCTGGAAAAGCTGGATGGAGGGTAAAGCTGTGGCATGTGACTGATCAGGGATAGCAGTGAACCCCTTCAGTGGCGACATTCTGCTCACACACCGCACTCCCGGTCAAGGAAACCTCCTGGTTTTGGCATGACTTGACTCTTGGATCTTGAGCATCTTTTGTTGTTTGTTTTTACATTTATAGTCTTGCAACAGACAGGCAGGACAGCTGCTCCTTTCAGAAACATTTCTGATATTCTTGACCCTGACCAAAGAATAGTAAAGCCATCATTATTAAGAAAAAATAAGTTAATCATATTCTATCTTGCTCAGTATGTATTGGTTTGGTTTCAGTCATATGGGGCACAAGGGTACTTTCCTAATAGATAGGAAAGATCTCACTTGGAGACTCAGACCTTCTCGTTCTGCATAAGCCATACCCTTACATGAAATAAGTCTATCAAACCTTATTAGCGGTATTTCATTGTGTCACCTAAGCCAGTCTACGTGTGATGTTCCAGTTTCCTCCAATTCCAGTGAGTATGGATTCAAAGCATCTAGTCAGAGCCTTGTAGCTTGAATAATAACTGTGCTTAATGCTCAGGTAACATCATCTTTTAAACAACCTCTAACATTATCTGACCATTCCAATCCTCTTGCAAGGGTGGGGAGCAGGCCAGAAACCACTGGGAGATGAACTAATGGATGGATGGAAGGGCCTGAGCTGCTGTGCCTTGGAAAAGCAGACAACATTGGAAGTTAGGAGTTCTAATGGCCAGTTACTGCTCTGGATGTCAACTCTGGCATATGCAGATTGCTAATGGGATATGTAATGCGTGCGTACGTGGTGTTAGCACATGTATTGTGCAAGTCTACCTCCGTTTCCTAAGAGTGGTGTTTTCTGCCCTTGGAAGGGAACAACGAGGTATCACTGCACCCAGTTTGCAGATGAGCAAATGTTTGCCTGGGAGAAAAAAAAAATCCAGGTATAGATCCTTTTTTTGGTTCGATTCCCATCTTTGGCCTCCATATGCAAGTCTGTTTTGCTGCTCTGTGCGTGTGGAGCGATTGGTCTGTGCACACCATGACGCTGGTGCAGCAGACGTCACCAGCGCGTCAGTCCCGCTGACACCCCCTCCAAACGCACCCCGCTAGCTCGGTGAATCATGCCTGTGCAGCACGCAAAGCCGGCCCCGGCATGGATAAACCTCAGGCGTTTATTGAAAAGACACTGTTTTGCTGTAAGAGCATAGCTCACCCTGCTGCATTTAAGATTGCAAAGATTATTGATCGCTAAGTTAAAGCTGTAATGCATTTAATTCAGGGGACAAGGGACCCAGCAGAGCAGGAGCACTGGTGCTCTGCCCGTCAGTAATTAAAAAACATGATTTATCATTGAATACCCATGGCTAAGGGACAGCCGAGCTAACCGTCTGGCTAGAGGGAGTGATGCTGGGGTAGGTTCATGATTATTCCTAAAGTTTTGTTTCTGTTTGTATGTTTATTTCTTTCCCCCTTCCCTCCAGGTCTAATAATACACGAAGGGCCCTCGGTTTACCGGATTTTTAAGCGGTGGCAGGCGGTCAATCAGCAGTGGAAAGTGCTGAACTATGACAAAACAAAGGACATGGAGGAGCAAAAAACAGGGACGAGGACAAACCAGCGCCCTGCCTCCCAAACCACCCACTCGTCCTCCACCGGTGGTACAGCCACTAACTCCGCTCCGGCCGACAGCGGGGCCCGGGCTGCCAGCCATGCCACAGGCACCCTCTCTGACCACCACTGTGCTTACACCATCCTGCATATACTCAGCCACCTGAGGCCTCACGAACAGAGGAGCCAGTCTAGTAGTAACAGAGAGCTCGTCATGAGGGTCACGACGGTCTGAGCCTAGGAATTCAGGAGGCCTTAACGCGGAGTGGAGGAGACCAAGAACTCATAAAGCAGAGGAGCATGGTGTGCCTTTTTCTTTCTTTTTTTTTCTTTTCTTCCTTCTTTTCTTTCCTTTTTCTTTTTTTTTGGTAACTGCACAAGATATAAGAGGCGACGCTTGGCCAGCTGAGGAGAAAAAACAGGTGGAGGGAGAGCTGCACACTCATGCTAAAGGGGTTCACGTTTTCCAGCCAGTTTAAAAAAAAAAACAAAAACACAAATCACACACACAAAAAAACCCAACAAAACAAGTGCAATACAGACTAAAAACTGAGTAGGTAGAGTTCTGGGGAGGCAGAGGAACAGATGGCTTAGTGTGGCTTTCAGATAGTGTTACTTGGAAGAGGTAATACTGTATACACATGCCCCGTACACACACACACACACACAGGTGTGAGAGTGAGAGAAACAATGAGGGGAATGAAATATTCTGAGTATTTTTTTTTCCAATCTGCGGTTAAGCAGGGCTATGAGTCGTTTTGTTTCATGAGTCACTCTGGAAGCTTGTTCGATTTACCATAGGATATTTGAAGTGAAGTGGCTGGGGATTTTTCAGTATTGATTTACCAAAAAAAGAAAAGAAAGGAAATGAATTGAATCATCTCAGCAAGAAAGTTTAACAAAGCCCGAGCCTACCAGATTTCACCAAAACAAAAATTCTGATTTTTCATAATGTTTTTGACAAAGGGTTTGTGAGGGTGGAGTTGCAGGGGTGGGGGTGGGATTCTATGACTTTTATTTGACATATAGACATTTCCGGCAAATTTATGCGAACACTCCGCAGGTGTTTCAAGCACAAGTACTGGCATGATTTATGCCTTCATAACCCCAAATCCAGCATCCAGACCTTCCCACTCGCACGCATCATTTTCCATGCATACACTCCAGGCTGTGTCCTGTCCATTTCCCCTCCAGTCTCAAGAAGGTGACCCACCTCAGGGGGTTGCTTCTACTTGCTCATTCAGACACTCATACATTAGAAATATGCATCTTTTTGGTGTGTGCATCTCTGCTGCTCAATTGGCAACAGGGTCTCACTCAGTCCCATAGGCTGAGACCCATATCCAGCTTGTTACTTTACTACAGAGCCTATTCCGTTCAACCACTCATCAGAGAGTTAGTCTGAAGAGGGAGCGCAGTTGCTGACCATGTGTTTTATGCTTCTAGTAAGCCTCCTTTTCTGGGATATACCTACAAAGGTACTGGTTGCTCTTCAGGAACATCCTCTTTCAATGCACAATGGCTGAATCATTTGTGGATATTAAAGGGACACTGTCAAGTACTTTTTAAATAGTTTTTAGGATTTGGGCTTTTTTTACTCTCCATTGTTTGTAATATTCTCTTACAAGCTTGAAAATAAAATTTCTTTCCCTATGGATTTTGTCCTTTTCCCTTTGGGCATGTGCTGTTCTCTCCACTCACCCCATTCCTCCCACCATCGCCGCCGTTCTGCTGCGACGGGAGCCAAGCGTGGTGCCACGTTGCTGATCCCGCTGTCCTTGTGCCATGCAGGGTATGTCCCAGCTCGGAGGGGTTGAGCTGGCCCGTGTAACTGCCACAAGGGAAGCACGCAAGTAGAAACCTCAAAAATACAGAGATGAGCAACAGCTCAGCAGTTCCAGAACAGTGAGTTTACAGTGATCAAGCCTGATCTCAACCGCCCTCCAATTAATTAAAGGATTCTAGCCAAATGTCACCCGTTCCGCAGAAGTGCTGATCAGCGTTGCACAATGGCTGTGTCTGACTGCCCTTTGGTCACTCTACCAGCACATCTCTCAGTTCTCCTGGTGCCAGGGCAGATATGAGGCACCACATCTCCGGCAGCTAGGCCCTCATGGGTGAGGTCCCTGCAGAAGATGCCAAGCTTTAAGCTCCCTGTTCAAAAATATCAGCCATTTTGCAATGCAGAAGATGGAGGTTAGCATCTTAAGGCAGGTCATATTTTTCACCTCAACTACTTGACAGTGTCCCTTTGAATATCTGAATGCAACAGAACAGATAGTTCTCTGGCAGAGAAAGTGGGAGATGAAACACCAGCCAAGAAAGCTGACTTACTGAGGATCCATGCACACAGCATGGTTTCTGAGACCACTGTACCTTTATCTGACCAACCTTACTATCTACCAAAGAGTGCTTTTGGCTGAGGGGAGAGAAGGAATATCAGAAGGAGAGGGAAGGGGCAATTCTGATCATCTATAAAAGCAACTACCCCAGAATGAAGGTGTTGCAATGAATGGCTCTCTGGAAGAACAGCTTCTGGTCCGCAGTAGAAAGAAACACAGTCAAGGTGAGCAAACACAGCAGCCTCTCACTCCCATTCCTGTCCTGGAAGGTGTCCTTTTCCAAGAGATGGGTAATGGTGGTGGCTTTGGGAGACAGGAGGCATACACAGCAGAAGGAATAGCTGTGAGATATAATTTATTTCCTTTGCTGTCTTGTATTCATTTAATATGGAGAAGTGAAATTCCTTTAACTTAACTAAATGCTAAAAGTTTATAAGGTAAGAAGCACAACTTGCCATGTCAGAGTGGCGTGATCTAGTAATCTGAGCACACGGGACTCTGCGTACTCTCACTCCAGCTCTCCCACCAACTCTGTAGCCTTGGGCTCTTTGGCTCAGTCCCCTGTCCACACAAAGGGGGAATAACAATACGTACCTACCTCACAGGGGTGTTGTGAGAATTCACATTCGTAAAGCCTGTTAAAGTGCTAAGTCTCATGCGTGGGCACCACAGGTCGTCGCGAAGCGCGTGGTGGGGGTGAGCAGTGCTGCCCTTTTGCTGGTTATAGTCTGAATTACTCAGCGAGGGTCCACGGGACCTCTCCTGCTCAGAGACCCTCCTCGACCAAAAGGGAGGGTGCCATCTGAGTTCCCTCTCCTCCATTGCATGATATTTTAAGCAGCTGTGAGGTGCAGGGTGGCCACAGACATGAAGTCCTACTTGACCAGGGATTTGCTACAACGTTTTCTATATCTGTGGGGTTTGTTGATTTTTTTTTTCCATATATTGCGCTTAGAAATAAACTTTCCACTTAGGGCTGGTGGTTTGGGGTCTCTTCTGTTGCATGGCAATGTATACAAGTCTTATTGTCTGTCTTACTGTGCAAATGATCCTGCAGCCCAATTTCAGAGATGGGTATGGTCTGAGCCTTTTCATGTTGGCCTAAGGCTCAAAAGCCTGTCTAGATTGTTTAATATTTAAACAACACTATGAACTTGTCAATTGTATATGTTCTGTGCAATACGAAGCATGTCATTACCTGGCTTGATGGGCAGAGGGGCAAAACTTGTTCAAAGAGCTTCATTCACATGCCAGCTTGGAGCCGAAGGACTGCCACCAGCACAGTTAACTCGGGAAAGCCATTGGAAACTGTTTGCAAATCAGTTTATTCCAGAATGAGGTGCTTCTGAGTTTGTGAACTTCCAGGGAAGCCAGCCTGGGAGAACAAGTGCAAACACAGTGTTGGGTTCGGGATTTTCTTCCCTCTCCCCTGCCCCCCAGCATTGATGGCAGAAACATCAAGGAGGGTCTCTGCCTTCCATAGCACAGTTCTCTTGCCTCCCCCAGTCTCTTTGTGCCATCCCCTTTGTGCTACTATGCAGGACTTCAAAAGGTGCAAATGAAGACAGGATGCTCCTGAGATCCGCAAAGTATATGATATAGAGGAGGGTTCCAGCAGATTGAAAAGATGAGGCAGAGCTATGCTACCGAAGGTATCTCTTCTTACCAACATATTTCCCCTGGTCTTGTCTGCTGGTTCCTACAAAGACATTATTTGTATTTTGTTACAAAGCAGACAGACCAGATTCCACCAACAACGAAGGCTTGTAAAGAATTTGGCAGCTGTTTCTCCCTGTGGAGAAAATTCCAGGTCCTATCACTGTGGAGACCCCTCAGTTCTTGGGTTTTGTCATCCTCCAACTCTGGGGGTGGTCAGTGTGGAGCACTGCGTTGACCCACCATCAGAAATAGTGTGTGTATGGTCCTGGTCATTCTGTGATTTCTCCTACAGTCTCCTGATTTTACATCAGTTTTGACAGGTCTTTCTGGTAATGTTCTTCAGAGGTGTTTTAACTTAACTTTGTGTGAGTTGTCGATGCTGTTTTTGCCTACAGAAACATCAGTGTTGGCCTCCAGCTTCCAAAGCTCTTGCAATTCTTGCCATTCAGTCTCTTGCTCTTCCAAAGCTCTTGCAATTCTTGCCATTCAGTCTCTTGCTAAATATCCGCTTCCAAGTTCAGATCCTCTTCCTCTGTGCTCAAGCACATGCACTAACCCTGAGGGGGACCAGGGATCACAGGGACCATGAAGACACTATATTACAGTCAGACTGTAATCCCTATCAGTCTTATTTGATATATATTCACTTTGCCAATCTCAGTGCCTCCTACTATAATTCGTTGCCACAAAAAACTAACAGCAGAAAAACCGGCACATTGAAGCAACACTTGATTTCCAATTTCAAATGTCAGCAGTGATGGGTCGTCTTTCAAGTAAGTCAAGTATGTTCCCTTTTGATAGTGGGAATTCAGGTGAGGACTGTGGCTTCCCAAGCAAGGTGCTGAAAAGGTCCATATCTCATTTTACTATGCTGGGCAGAGCCAAGGAAAGAGCAAGTCAGCAACATGGGTTTGATTCAAGAGAAGCATCGGTGGCCTGCCGCATTTTCACTCAGGGAGACAGGAAAATACTGCTTATGTCTGCCAGTTCTCTGACATTGCTCAAAGCCCTTACCTGTCTGCAGTAAAATATCAGAGCTAATACCTGTGGATGGAGGACATTTGAAGATTATCCAATTCTGAAGATGATGCTCTACCCGAACTTAATTGCCAGTCATCCAAACTTCTATTTTCTTCAAGAGAAAAAAAAATATATACATTTGCCAGACCTCTCCCATATCTCACAGGTCCTTGAAGTGTTCTAAACAGGCAAGTATAAAGACTCACCAGGACATAATGCAGCAACTTTGACTAAGGAAAATCCTAGTGATGGGAACCCTATCTGCCTTTGGATGTATGAGCAGCCGAGCAGCACTTCTGATGTAGGAGCAGCCTGCACCACTTCCAACCTATGAATTAATCACCAGGACTCCTGCACGTCAAGACTGAGAGCAAAAGGCCAGACCTATTCCTTACTGCAAGTCAAACCCCTGCAGGGAAAAATCCCCTCAGTAATTGCCTTGAGGGACAGCAGTGAATTTGCCTTAGCGGCCAGTGGCTGGGGACCCTACCAACCCCTCTCCTCTTTACCTCACATGGGACCCCTCCTTTTCTTTCCTGAGTCACCAGATTCACTGTCCTCTCTGCTGTACCTAACTCTAGCTCTGAAGATGTCCTGAACAGACACAGG